AATTAGTGGTGCAGTGGCTCACACCTGGAGTCCCAGCTCCTCGGGAGGCTGAGGAGGAGGATCCCTTGAGCCCAGGAGTTTGAGGTTGCCGTGAGCTAGGATGACGCCACCGCACTCTACCCACTGCGACACAGCGAGACTCTGCCTCAAAAATAAATAAATAAATGCAGTGTAAAATCTTTTTCACTAAATATAACTATTATTTGGGTAAAACTGCATTCACTTTGCTTCAAACTCAAGCCAAATCTTCTAAAAATGAAGACCAGTTTTGTCAAGGTAGAACCAAATATTGAAGAAAAAGCATCTTTTTGGTACTTACTTCATATTGAAAAACTTGAAGGTATGATGGGAGAAATTTGGGTATGTGAATCTACTTTTTTAAGCGTACATTTTATAAAATGTAAATGTGATCAAGTATTTCTGATGAAAATTTAAGTCTGAAATGAGATATGCTATCATTGTGAAACACGCACAGGGTTCCAAAGACCTACTATTACAATATCTCAATAATTTTATCTTAATTACATGTTGAAATAACATTTTGGAACATATTGGGTTAAGTCCTTAAAATCAATTTCATATTTTTTACTTTTTTTTTAATGTGGCTACTAGAAAATGCTAAGATGCTCGTGTGGCTCACGGCAACGGCGCTGCTTTAAACAGCGGACCACTGTGCAAGCTTGAAGTCAGAGACACACCATAGCCCAAATTACCGGCTTGAGCCTTGCACTCAGATTTATCTCAAGCAAAGACGGTGCCCAGGACACCCGACTGCTTCCCACTGGTTTATCTGGTAGTTACGGCTACGTTCCAGGGTGGTGGGACTACTTTCTGTGAGCGTGTAAGAATAAGAAGATTTGAAATAGCTGCTCTGGTAATTATGACTTATGGTTCCTTGACCCCTCGTCTTCCTCTACAGGTGTGTTGAGAGAGAAGGGAATGTTTGCAAGCCAGTCCTCTTCCATAGAGAGCCTGGCCGGACCCTTGGCGCAGGCTGCTCAAGTGGCATTTTGTCTGATGCGCAAGACGTTTAAATTTCCTAATTCATCTCACATTCTTAGGAAGGAAAGAAAGCACATTCTCTTTCTCAGACTCCAAGCGTGAAACTGAAATATGTTCCCTGAAGTTGAGGAACAACAGGACCTCGGTGTAATGACCAGAGAAACTTCTCCATTCAAATGTAACTAACGTAACCGCCGGTGGAATCGTTTCCCTCAGATTTCCACACATCATATGGAATTTCATCAGCAAAAACTGTTTGCAATGAAGAGCCTAAAAGAAAATTTCTTGTTAAAGAGCAGGATTAATTCGGAATGCCAAAGATCTTCCGTTCTGTTAATCTGATAAAGAGAGAAAGGAAACAAAATCCACGGGTATTTTCTTTCCAAGAAGTTTAACACAAATTTAGTTTCAGGACCATGAAAAATTATTTAGAAGAATGGGTAGAAATTAGACGGTCTTCATTCCTGCTACTTTCTGAACACTAACACCCCAGACTACAGTTCTACAGAAGAAGAAAAGTGCTGTGTTAGCCTGAGCTTGGGCCTGTGCTGTAGAACAAACGCAGCTGTCCCCAGCGTCGGTGGGAGGCGGGTTCCAGGACCTCCCACCGAAACCAGAATCCTGGGAGCTCCAATCCCTGCTATAACATGGCGTAGTGTTTGCATATAACCTAGGCACATCCCCACGCCGTAAATCATCTCTAGATTACTTACAGCACCTAATATAATGTCAGTGCTGTGGAAGTAGTTGTTATACTGTACTTCTTTAATTTGCATTATTTTTTATTGTTCCCCCCGCCCTGAATATTTTCAACCCGTGGATAAGGAGGTCCGGCTGATCGCCGCTGTGCTCGGGGGGCAGTGGGTATAGAGGGTGAGCGTGTCGGCCCGACAGCCCAACTGCCTGGGCTCACACCCGACACGCACTGCAGTTGCGGTGCGACCATGGGTGCTATGCTGCGGTTTCCTCCTGTGTGAGGCAGAAATAACAACAGCGCCTGCCCACGGGACGGCTGTAAGGGTTCAATGGAGGGCCCTGAACAGTGCCTGCTGCAGAGTCCACGCTCCATAAATGCCAAGAGCACCAGGTGCTACTATTATCACGTAGCTCTGAATACTCATAACCAGAGAATCTTGGAGGTAAAAGAGAACTGGCATATCATCCAGTTCAATCCTGCTTAAGAATTCTCTCTCCAGTAACCTTCTAAGCGGGCCGAAACAGAAGCTGTTATCCAGCAACCACTTGCAACGGGAACTCACTATTTCCCAAGAAATAAGGTGTTTCTTCCATCGTGATGGCTCCAAAAGTTAAACTTTCACTTAATAATGTTGACAACACCATAGCTCACAGCAACCTCAAACTCCGGGGCTCAAGCAATCCTTCTGCTTCGGCCTCCCAGGTAGCTGGGACTACAGGTGTGCGCCACCACACCTGG